ATAGAAAGATAGACAAATAGATTTGTCCGAATATAATTAAAAGTATCAAAAACTTCATTCCAGATGCCTATGACGTATATGTAATTAATGAAGCTCTACAGGAAATTGAAGACTTCACTTGCATCAACTTTATCCGAAGAACAACTGAAAAAGATTATATCTACGTCACCCCAGATGGAGGGTAAGAAACCTAAAAAAAGTAATTTAAGAATAATATTTATGAATACTATTATGACGTTTATTTAAAATGACTATAACCTATCTGTCTTTCATCTAATCCAAAGAGTAGATGCTGGTCATATGTTGGTCGCCAAGGTGGGTCTCAAGTTGTTTCCCTAACTGTTCCTGATTGTATTAACAAAGGGACTGTTATACATGAGTTGATGCATGTTCTTGGTTTCTGGCATGAGCATAATAGATCGGACAGAGATGATTTTATTGAAATAATTTGGAGTAATGTTATTAAAGGTAATATTTGCTTTGACATTGGTAAGAAACTTTGCCTTAATTAGCTGACGTGTAATTAATAATATTCTTATCATTTCATAAATTTCATAATGAGTATTGTTTAAAGTAAATAAATTAGTGTTATCATCATTTCATACTGATTAGAACTTAAGATTAAACCTTTTGCAGACGGCTGGTACAACAGTTGTAACCTCAGTTTTGATTTTTTTTAATTTGGAAAGTATTTGATATATTAGTATTTGATTATCATAAATTTGTTATTAATAATATTCTTGTCACTTCATAAATTTCACAATGAATATTGTTTAAAGTAAAGAAATTAGTGTTATCATCATTTCATGTTGATTAGAACGTAAGATTAAACCTTTTGCAGACGGCTGGTACAACAGTTGCAACCCCAGTTAATATTCTTATCATTTCATAAATTTCATAATGAATATTGCTTAAAGTAAAGAAATTAGTGTTATCATCATTTCATACTGATTAGAACGTAAGATGAAACCTTTTGCAGACGGCTGGTACAACAGTTGCAACCTCATTTTTGATCGTTTTTAATTTTGAAAGTATTTAATATTAGTATTTGATTATTATAAATTTGTAATTAATAATATTCTTATCATTTCATAAATTTCAT